AAAAATATCACGATACAATTTTTCATATCAGTCGATATCGATAATTATCACGATAAATTACAAAAAAAAAATATTTCAAGTTTAAAGGCCGATTTTTGCTTCTAAGTGAAAGTTGTAGAAACCAGACCGTTAATTGTGGTTTAAACGACCCTTTATGGTCAGAACATGACAAACACTTCACGTTTTTTGAATTCTTTACACTTTTCCAGTCATTTTTCCTTAACTAAGTAAATATCTCAATAGAAAAATGTATTTCTTAGTTTCTGCATGTTGATATTGTTTCAAATCATGATTGACATGTTCAGTCTTTAGACAATATTCTTTATCTTGATAATTATGTATTTGCTCTAAAATGTATTAAAAATGTATAAATATACAGTCAAGAAATCTATTTTAAACAGCCATTATAAGCAATTAGAATCCGAATTTTCAGAAAATTTTATTTAAATTTTTGTTGAAATACTTTATCCTATCCCAGCTTAAACTACTAACCATTAATAGGTTGATTCGACCAATGGTGTGAGTTTGAGGGTGGGACTGTCTTCTTGTTTGAACATTTACAGACGGGGCAGTGTTCATTAAAGCAGTTTTTGCAGTAATAATAGCGTGCAGAAATTCACACAATGCAACGAATAAAAAGAGTGAAAATATAGATAAAAACAAGGTTTTAATTTTTTTACACATTTTTCACTAAATGAACACCAGGAAGAATTACATTTAATAATTTTCATTGATATGCACCAATATAACAATACAAATTATTAAAAAGCAATATATAGCTAGGTGTATGTACTAGGGCTGTCAAAATGGTTGAAAAACTAAATTCGAATTTTTTAATGAAATATTATCAAAATTCGAATTATATTCAAATTTAAAATGCAGAATTTTAGTTAGGGTGAAGAAAAGCTTTTGGCTTCTCTTTTGAGGCCACAAGAGGGCGCATCGAGCAAAATATTACTGTGCGTTTATTCAAAGCATAAGATAACATGACTATCTGTGAAAAAAAGTGAATAATGTTTAAAATAATGTTTATAAACCAATTATAATTAAGTTGCTTAAACAACTATAAACAAAACAGCATCATGTATGTATGCATAGTTTAATACAAAGGTCCGAAAGCCAACCACACAGAGTACATTTTACATTTAAAAACACAAGTTTGCAGTCGTGGGGAAAAAACCTTCCATAAAGTCTCGAGATATGTTTTTTTCAAAGTTGAACTTACATTAATTTTACATGGCTTTCTAAACATGCGGCCCTTTTGTGCGAGACGCGAGTGCAACGGTGATAGATGTTTTTGATGAATATTCAAAATTCAAATTTTTTTTGACAGCCCTAGTATGTACTAAAATATCTACATTAAAACATGTAAAACGCCAATACAACATTTTCGAGTGATGATGGAAATAATTAATTGAATCAGAATTATGAATCGATTCATTGAAACTAAGTAAAGTTTTTATTGGTGAAGTTTATTAACACTATTAAGTCTTTCTTAACAGTCTCATACTCGTGAGCCAAGGAAGAATCACATATCTTGTCTAATGACGTATAGTGAACTCAATAGCATATTGAAAGCACCGCAATATTTTTATTATAATTTTTGTTACTCAAATAGGCTGATGCATATTTTGCACTGCTTTTGTTAAAGAAATTGTGGCCGGATGGCAAAAGCTGACTCCAAATCATCAGTTCTTATTCTGCTGGATCTATCTGCTGCTTTTGACACTGTCAATCATCAGATCCTCCTGTCTGCACTCTCTTCTTTCTAGGCTGGACTACTGCAATGCTCTTCTGGCTGGACTTCCATCAAGCACAATCAAACCTCTACAAATGATTCTGAATGCAGCGGCACGACTGGTCTTCAAAGAGCCCAAAATAGCCCATATTTCACCTCTCTTTATCTCCTTGCACTGGCTACTGGTTGCGGCTGAAAACTCATCTCTTTCGACGCTACTTGACTTCATCCTAAATTAAAAACAACAACAACAACAACACTGTCTTTCTCTTTATTTATTCCTTCCCTTTCTACTTGTACTTATTTGAACAATGCCTAAAACTTGGTATTACAAGCACTTCCTGTGTCTCTTTGCCTCTTTAAGAAGAATCGCTTTATGTATTACCCAATTGTAAGTCGTTTTGGATAAAAGCGTCTGCAAAATGACTAAATGTGAAATTAACTCAAGGTTCCTTGTTAAATAAATGATCACTAAATAGATGAAATCTAGAGAGCGTGAGGTGTTGCTGACACTTTGAGCAAGTGGATGGAGGTTTCCTTGATTAATGTGTTTCCTGTACCACAGGAAGTACTATGGAGAGAAGATCGGCATCTACTTCGCTTGGCTGGGTTTCTACACAGAGATGCTCTCCTATGCCGCAGTTGTTGGTCTGCTCTGTTTCATCTATGGTGTGGCAACCTTTGACGAAAACGTCTGGAGGTGAGGATAAGACTAGAAAACTAAAAACAGAAAACAGAAGACGGTTCATTTTAATGCCCGCTATAGTGCCCCTTGTGGCAGTGCTAAGAATGCAACGCTTGTAATGTACAGTATTATGAATTGCTCTCTGACATTTCGTAAACACAACGGCATGTGAAATAAAGCTAGAGTTAAGTATAGTAATTTTGAGTTTGGGTTCACAGAAACAATTTGTGTTGTCTTCTGCAGTAAAGAGATCTGTAATGATACCATTGGTGGGCAGATTGTCATGTGTCCTCTCTGTGATAAGAAATGTGGCTACTGGAAGCTCAGCACGACCTGTAGCTCCTCATGGGTGAGTGAAAAAATAACTGTGTAACAATTTTTACATCTTTTATTTATTTACTTATGGAGCATGTTTTTGTGTATTTATTAATGTAAGTTATACCTTCGTCTGATTGCCTTGTAGCAATCGTATCTGTTTGACAACACAGCGACGGTGTTTTTTGCGATATTCATGGGAATATGGGGTGAGTAGAGAGCTCTTGTAACTGTTGTATTGGTTCTAGAATTGTATTTGTTACCTGTGTCTAAATTTGTTACATCAAACTACTGCCTACACCTTCTTTACTTATACCTTGTGCAGTTTGATGTCAGTTGATCAGCCAAGGAAAATAGGGATGAGCCATAATTTAAGAGAATGTGTTAATGTTTGAATGTAGTTTTAATTGTTATGATCATGGTGAAAATGGCGCATACGCTGCCTAAATTTGGTAAATATTTAATATTCTCTTTTACTCTGACTCCTCCTAATGGTAAAATATGATGCTTGTTCTTAAACATTTAATAAAATCCTCATGTTGTCAGTCAGTCATTTACAACAAACGTTGTATTTAGTATGTCATGACACCTGGTTGCAATAAAAAGAATTTTCTTTTAAATTATGCATATTTAGTACGTTTTATAAACAATAGTAATATGCAAATAATGCAAAAGAGGGTCATCATGGGGTGTTTCAATAGAGAGCTGCAATAATGACGTATGTTTGTAGGCCAACCCAGAAGTTAGCATCACTTCCCTCGACAAAAACCATGAGCCTTTGAAACATTGCAGAAAATAAGCTCTGACCAACAAAAGTTTATGATTCTTACACGTTTTGTTCAACATAATTATCTTCACAAATGAGCACACCTTTTATTTTGAAGCCTAAATACAAGGCTATGAACAAACTGCAGTCACATGACTTGATTCACCATAAGCTTCAGACGACTCTTTTTTGTCTTTATTTCAAAATAATTGTCCCTGAAAGTTTGAGTTAGTACTCAATTAGTCTGTCTCATTTAGCCACTTAGCAACTGCCTTTTTCAAGACAAGCGAAGCTTTAAAAATTTGTAGGCCAACCCAGAAGTTAGCATCACTTCCCTCGACAAAAACCATGAGCCTTTGAAACATTGCAGAAAATAAGCTCTGACCAACAAAAGTTTATGATTCTTACACGTTTTGTTCAACATAATTATCTTCACAAATGAGCACACCTTTTATTTTGAAGCCTAAATACAAGGCTATGAACAAACTGCAGTCACATGACTTGATTCACCATAAGCTTCAGACGACTCTTTTAGTCTTTATTTCAAAATAATTGTCCCTGAAAGTTTGAGTTAGTACTCAATTAGTCGGTCTCATTTAGCCACTTAGCAACTGCCTTTTTCAAGACAAGTGAAGCTTTAAAAAAAGAGGTTATTACTGATGTATTTCATGTTGTAGAATAAACATGAAAATATCTTGAGCTTGTGTTAAACACTGAGCTTATTTCAGAGATTTAACCAAAAACCCATTCAAAAAACATTGACTTCAGGACGATGGAACCAGAATTGCTAAAATGCTAACCCTGGGTTCTGGATTTTGGCCTTCAAAAATACATCATCATACAGCACTCAATGCGTCCAGGAAACAAACACAATAGACCATTTTGGAGTAGACGTCACAATTACGTCACTTGCAGCTGCACGTGCATTTTGAAAAACACTGGGAACAAGTGGAGGGAAATGGGTAAAGTCCATGAAATAAGAGAAAAAATGTATTGTGCTTCTGGATGTCAGAATCGGAATGCAAATCATTTTTATAGAATACTGTCGTCAAAGATGCTATTTGAAGCTAAACGCAGACGTTTAAACTATTTAGATGGACAAACTATGGATGAAACCTGCTATGATGACCCTATTTTAAAGCATAAATTAGATTTGAAAAATAGGTCTATATAATATAAACATAGAGGACATATTGTATTAGCCCTACAGTTAAAGCATGAAATACTATTTAAACCTATAACATTTGCCTATTTTATCTCACAATTCTGACTTTTTATCTCGCAAATGCAAGTTTATGTCTCTTATTTCGGACTTTATAACTCACTTTAACTGAACAATTGCGAGTTTGTCAATAGTGAGGTGAAAAAAGACAGAAGTGTGGGATATAAATGATTCTCATGATTCTGAGCCGAGGGGAAAAGAGAGAATGACGAGTTGATTTTTCTTATCAGAATTGTGAGATATAATCTCGGAATTGCGAGAAAAAAGTCAGAATTTTGAAATATAAACTCAAAATTACCTTTTTTTATTCTTTTATTCAATGGCTTCCGTAGACTGCTACTTAAAAGCTGTCATTTTCTGCCACCAGATAGGCTCCGCCCACAAAAACACAGAAATTGGTTTATATAGAGAGATTTAAGTTGTAATTTTTCTACGGTGTCAGTGACTCTGTTCCTGGAGTTCTGGAAGCGGCGTCAGGCTCGACTGGAGTACGAGTGGGATCTGGTGGACTTTGAGGAAGAGCAGCAACAGCTGCAGCTCAGACCCGAATACGAGACCAAGTGCACCCACCGTCGACTCAATCGTGTCACGCAAGTATGTATACATATCTAATGACCTAATGACCCAGAGATTTTTCAGTATGTAGTTTTACCATATTAAAGCAAAAAATGGCAAGTTTTGATCATATAGCGCTAGCTAGGGTCTTGGAAAGACTTTTCTGCATAGTTTAGTTCCAGATGTGCTAAAGTACACCTGGCCATAATTTGTAGACTCTGTTTAGTTGATTCAGGTGTGTTTAAATGAGTTGGAACTAATGCTGCCTTCACATGCTATTGGAATTTTCCTACTTCCCACTTGTGAAGATAAAACTATGAGTTTGTCGCATTCAAATGCTTTGTTGTTGGAAAGAACAGGACGGCCCATTCATGAGTTCACTATTGCCTGTTTCTTGTGAAAATCTTATTAAAGCCAAAAGGTATAGAAGATATTGAGTCAATATCAAACAGGGTTTGAATAAAATGTAGCGTCCCATTCATTGCTAACCACAGACACATTCACTGCTCTAGATATTCAGCTTGCTGACGATTCTCGATTATAGTCAAATAAATGCTTATAAATACACACACATACAGTATATATTTTGAAAATATTTACATGTATATACATTTATATAATTATATTAGTATATTATATATAAATATATTTAATATATAAACAACATATTTTCTTAAATATATACTGTATGTGTTTCTTTGAACGATTACGTAATTGTGGCATCCATAATTGTAATTGCGATTAGAAATTCGATTAATTGTGCAGCCCTAGTATATATACACGACTGTAACAACAAGAGAACGTAATGAAGATGTTGTGGGGAAAACATAAAACTTTACAGGACTACAGCTAAGTTTATGGCCCGCCCAATGCAGAAACTCAGATATCAAAATTACCTTGATTCCCTTTCATGGGAACTTCGAACTGCGTCCTCTAGGCGTCTGAATAAACTGAATGTTTATAATGTTTTTCATCCTCAAGAAAGTGTCTGGAAAGAGGGAACGTCTCAGGTTACTTATGTAACCATGGTTCCCTGAGTAGGGGACGAGACACTGCGTCCTCTAGGTTTCTTGCCATGCTGCGGAAACAAGCTTCAGACGAAGAGGTGAATGATGTGTGCTCCCGGCACCTATTTATACTATAGTCGCACCGGTAGTGACGTCATGGCTGTCGCCGGCCAACGAGTTGGTGGTTTGGTTGTATGCTTCAGACACGGGTCACGACGAGGCGTTCCCCATAGTGACCCCTAGAGGACGCAGTGTCTCGTTCCCTACTCAGGGAACCATGGTTACATAAGTAACCTGAGACGGTTTCCCAGTTGTAAATACGACTTGAGAGGCCGTACATATTCGCTTTCTGACTAGGAAACTCGTATTTACGATACTTCTGATAGCACGTGAAGACAGCATACACTCTGAAGGAAAATGGCTCTCGGGATCCCGAATGAGGAAAAGGAAATAAAGGATGATACAGATAATTGCCAATGTATTGTTTACTTATAAATGCTCATTGCAAAATTTTCTTGAATGTCACCCTTTGTTTTGAATTTAATTGTTTGTTAAACTTGCAGCCGTTCATCGTTGATTTTTAGCTGTTCCTTCAGTGGATTTTATATTAGCTTTAAAATTTTTATTTGTTTTATCTTACTTTTCTGCTTGGTTTATCTAGACTCAGTTTAGATGGCATATTTAATTTGACAAAATGAAAATGAGGCTGTGATGGATGGACATACACGGTATGCACAATATATTATAACAAGGTCTTGGCACACAGCTCTTGTTTTATAAACAGGGGTGCACATAAAGTGGTGCGCATGCGTGACTAAAATAAAAAATGCGCTGTGGAAATAAGTTCAGACCACTCACTGACAGCTGTTAATGCACAATCACTGTTTTAGATCAACTAACTGTAATACTGTATAAGATTTCATTGAAAATGATGAAAATTCATGTAAAGAAATCAAACCGTAAAAAGGAAAAATAAATGAATGAAAATATAAGCATTGTATTTTTAGGTGTACTATAAAATAATAGTGTTTTTATTTAATACTCACATTTTATTTTAAAATATAATAGTATTATCACACTTTATTTTGTTTATTATTTGATTTTTTTAAAAACTAAATAAATAAACTGCAATAATATTCTTATTACTATGATTATTTTTAATAGTTATATTTAATAGGTCACACTATATGTGCAGTGTGAGAACCAAACCAAATCTCCAGGTGCTCTCATGAGAACCAGACTGAATAAACTGAATGTTTATAATGTTTTTCATCCTCTATATATATACAGTACAGTGAAGAACAAATTATGTCAAATTGTTATAAGTGTCTTTTTATATTAGCACATAATGTCAGTGATGTACAAAAATACAGTGGGGTCCAAAAGTCCTAAACAACATTGAAAAACTGGGATTCAAAATTGAATTTAACTTGGAAATTTGGATGTATTCAGTTTTTAAACATAAGACATGTTATCACATTGAACAAGAAATATTTAAGAATCTGCACCTTTCTTCAATAATCAAATAAGCAAATGTGTTTAATGCTCTTTGGAACTTTTAAGCATTTTAAAGTCATGCTGGATAACTTGATTTTGTTTAGCTTGAGTCATTAAAGCAAAAGGGAGACACCAAATACTTTTTAAAATAAAACCCTTCACTCATTACAGAATATACAGAAGCATTTTCACTAGTGGTCTCAGATTTTTGAACCCCACTGAATTTATTAGCTCGGTTCCAACAGCTAGTGAGCTGCCTGCATATGACAGTTTAAGACATCATATACAAGTATGTTATTTAATACTAAAATATATCTAGAAAATGATGTAGCTGTAGACTGTTTACTTAATATTTGCTCTTGCTATGTACTTTCATGCTTATTAGAGTTGTTAGCTTAGCAATATGATATCAAATACATTTGAAATCAGATGTAAATCAAATCTCCTGCAAACTTTGCGTGAGGAGCGCTTTTTGTATAATGTTGGGTATTAAATTATATATTATGTTGTATTTATTGTCTGCCTTTGTGCAATGGTCCAAATTAGGAGCTTAAGAGGTTCCACTGTAGTTTGGATGCTGCCTATATTGGTAGTATAGATTCTAATAATAATTGTATCCCAAATTACACACTGTACACTATGTATCTAGTGTTTGAATTATATACGGTTATTTTGTCACCCCTCCATTATGTAAGTAAAGCTGTGACAGTTGAGTGCATGAAGTGTCCAAGTGTACACATTTTTTTGGGGGGGTTATTTAAGTGTATGTTCCAGGAATTTGAAATGCACTTTTTCTTTTTGATAATTTAATGTATACACACTATTCATACTAAATAAATGACATAGAATAGTGCACAAGTATGTGAATTGGGACGCACCTATAGTTTTGGAACAGAGCTAATATACACACATATTATACTGTATAGCAGATAGATTATTGCATAATCTGCGCAAGACTTAATATTGAATGTTAATAAGTTGCTGGACTGTATGGACACCGAATCACACATCAGTAAGTAAGTTAAATCAGTATCTGATGTTTGCTGTAGAACATTTTGCCTGAGGATGCATGTTTTTACCAGCATCATGTAGCATTTGACTGTTTTGACGTGTTCTAGTAAGCACTGCATGTTCATAGTTTTGTTTTTCTTTTTTAACAATATTTTTGCATGGATAATTGAGTAGTAATACTAATTGCGGTGAGTGAGTTGTTGTGTGTGTGAGAGAGGGGGCTCGCCCAGCATGATCGTTAGAATCAGAGGTAAGTGTACTGCAAACTAGCCAAAAACTCAGCGCATCCGAGAGGCGGATTTGGAAGGGCCTAGTTCACCTGATGCTACTGGTTCCAGTGAGAGGAGAACTCCGAACTCAGAAAGAATAGCATGCTCATAGGCAACCCTTTGGTAAAGGGGAGCACTGCTAATACTACCACGAGAACAGCCCATGGAGCGAACCCGGGCGCTCGATAGGAAGCAGCATGCTCATAGTAACCAATATTACGATAATAGATCGTAGATCGCTCTTACCACGTTCAAATGCATGCTTCAAACAAAACAGTTGAAAGGGAATTTCAGCGCATGCAGTAGTTCATTAAACGTGGAAAGAGTCTGGGGCCGTTCACACAGAATGTGTTTTTCCAACACGCTACTTTTCCATTGTTTTTCTATGTAAACACACGCTAGACAGACGTGTATGACCATTGTGCTCGCGTCTTGTTTCTTTTGCATCTTCTCGCACATGAGCGCCACGTTTTTAGGTCGAGAATTTCAACTTTTGCACACAGCGCCCCTCGTCAGTGTCAGTTCCAAAACGGTGGACCAGTCAGAAGTCTCAGGTTTTTAGATGCAGCGATTCGTTCTGTGTGAACGGCCCATAAAGGTGATGATACACGGGGCAACTTTTTGAGCAATGTTGCCGTCAACGGACAACCAGGTGAGACACAGGGCCCACGACCGATCTAAAGTATTCAGTTGCCCATTCTCAATGGAAAAGTGCCCAAGCAACATTGCTCAAAAAAGTTGCCCCGTGTATCATCACCTTGAGTGACAAATCTGAAGAACCTAGTGTTCATTTTCAAAAGTCATATTCAATCAGATTTCAAAACATCATATTAGTATATTAGGTTTGTAAAACTCTTGAGGTCCTAATAATATATTAATTTGACAGAAAATGGGCAGAATATGAAGTGACAGAGTCAGGTGTTGCGATTTCACAAATGGAAGGTGAGTTGGTAGTGAAGGTTCGTTTATCCACCAGCCAACTGAGAAACTAGATAATCTGCGTGTTTGTTTGGCTTTGTTCGTATTGTGTAGGAACTGGAGTGGGTTCTAGACCAGAGCCCAGCTGATAAAGCAGGCAGGTTTATCCTGTGCTGGGCCACTGTTGTTTTGTGGGTAAGGCAGGCACAGGACGACGATACTGTAGATCGGTTTCTGTGTGTGTGTAAGAGTGTGTGTAGCATTAGCAGCCTGCTTGCAGTGTGATTGCAGCTTTGAAAGACTGTAGTTGTAGAATTAATCTTTACTGTAGAGATGGCAGATGACTCATTGGAAACGGGAAGAGTCCTCGTAGAGAGCCGTGTGGACACTGACAGCACTAGTACAGTGCTAGTTTAGGGCTCCTGTGCCAGGTGTGTGTGTGTGTGTGTGTGTATGATGTGTACCTCTCTCACTCCAAAACCTAGATCTCTCTGATTATCGCCTGTATAATCGGTGTAATTGCGTACCGTCTGGCGGTGTTTGCGGCGTTTGCCAGCATCATGAAGGACAGCCCCACCAATAAGCTGGATGTGGTGGGAACCCTCATCACGCCGCAGTTCGCCACATCCGTCACGGCTTCCTGCATCAACTTTGTCATCATCATGATTCTCAACTTCCTGTATGAGCACGTAGCCATAAAGATCACTGATATGGGTGAGTCTTTAGCAAGTATATGGGACTCCCAGCCTCTTTTTCCCACCTAAAAACTTTTAAAATATTTAAAATTTAAAGTGATGTAACTTTTCAATAAATACAATAACTAAAAAAATTACATAAGGTTATTATTATTGTTGTTGTTTTATTTTAAAACTATTATTTTATTTATTTCATTGCGTTTATTTGACCTTGGGCACTTTCTAATTTCCGATTTGTGAACGGATCATTCTGATTTGTTCCAGTCAATTCATTTTGTGTTCTATATCTTGTAATAAACAAAAAGAGAAACAATTGTATATTGTTCAGTTAATAAAGTATTTCTATAATGTAAGGATTTTTGTGCGCTGATTTTTATTCACTTCTTCTTCTGTCCACAGAGGTTCCCAAAACCCACGTGGAGTACGAGAACAAGCTAACGGTGAAGATGTTCCTCTTCCAGTTTGTCAACTACTATTCCTCTTGCTTCTACGTCGCCTTTTTCAAGGGCAAGTTTGTGGGTTACCCTGGAGACTATGCCTACATGTTCGGCAAGTGGAGAAATGAAGAGGTAGACCCGAGATCCCATGAGCCTGATTAAAGTTTTACAGTTTTCCCCATGCCATTATTTTACTGTTTAAACCATTGTTAGTGCCAATGGTTCTCTAATTTATATTAATTGAGTATAGAGTTTAAGGATAATAATAAATACATTAAGGAAAATGTATATCATCGTTTAATATTATACTCATTAGTAGATCAGTTTTAAAGGTGCTGTATGTAAGTTTTTGACTCTACTAAAGCATAAAAATACCATAATATGTTTGCAGATATTTAAGAAACATGCTAAGTTAACATACTTGTTTATCTGAAAAACAGTGCTACAGTCAGTTATTCTCCTTTGAAAATGTGCGTTCCGTGTCGGAATGTCTGTCTTTGTTTTGGTCTGTGTGACTCCGCCCACTGCCAGTTTACCCAATTGTATTTCCGGGTTGCCAGTTGGCGGAAAACAGCGTCAAGTGCTCTCGTTCCTGTTGGTGTCGTCAATCTGGCAACCTGCGTGTGCATCAAGTCTGAGGAGGAGGGGCCGGGTGAAAAAAACCCTCTCCAATATGTTGAATTTGGACTGCAATACCTAGTTCAACCACTCGGTGTCAATCCTACATACAGCACCTATAAGTGTTGTTTATTTCTGAACATCACAATTGTGTTTGCAGTGCGAGCCAGGCGGCTGTTTGATCGAGTTAACCACTCAGTTAGTGATCGTGATGGTGGGTAAACAGGTGTGGGGAAACATACAGGAAGCTCTCGTCCCGTAAGTCCACATGACATGATGTAATCACACAAGACTCTCGTTATCTGTTGCATGACCAGGGTATATTCTTAATGTTGTGCCTGTTTTGATGATAGTAAACCGAGACTATTAATGATTCAGATCCACTTAAGATGTGTTCCTGTGCATGTTCATGTGTTGTGTATGTATTGTTAGTGGGTGGTGTTTTATATATCTCTGTCTATGTGTAGCTGGCTGCGTAACTGGTGGGTGAGCAGAAGCGCTCGTAATCATCCGGAGAGTCTGTACAGCCGCTGGGAGCAGGATCATGACCTGCAGACCTTCAGTCAGCTCGGCCTCTTCTACGAGTACCTGGAGATGGGTGAGTGTCCGGCAGCTACAGTACATCAGTGCTGAAAAATATTTAACTACATCATCATAGAATATATAACATATGATATATAACAGGTAGTATATATAAAAATTAAAATCAATATAGTATTTTAAATTATTACACGGCTCTCTGGAATACTTTGTACTTGATCTTTTTGTGGTTTCTACAGGAAAGCTAATAATTTCAGGTCAAATCAATATTTCATGCCCATTTACTTGTTACATGTTGCTGTGTAATGAGCCGGATTTGTGCTGGGGTCCTGATCACCCTATCAGGGCTTATTATTTTGCAATAAAAAAAAATGGCTGACTGTACAAACCCTTTACATCACTCCATTCAAGGGCTTTTCTCAGCAAATATTGTGCACATTTTTTTTTTTTTCATTTTGAATTTTTTTTTTCAATTGAAAGCTCTGGTTCAAATTTTAATCTGTCACCCTAATTGAGATCCTTGTTGTGTTTGTGCCCAATTAATACTGCTCAGATTTTGAAGTAAGTTATGATCTGGTCTAGACTTAGGTCTGGCTCGATGCCATAGAAGAAAAGGCTGTGAGGGATGAACTTGCTGTCTTTGCAGTGGCATGCACTGGTCTTAGTTTTCAAAGTTTTATGGACTTTTTGTCTATTGCACATTTTTTGGAAAGATGTCAGCTTATCAATTGGCATTTTGTTAATTTTGTTTAATCTGAGTTGTTAGTCTTGTAAAACTTTTTAGTGTTGCTAATTACTTCATAAAAATTATTTTTAATGTAGCTTAACTACTTCAAATCATAAATAGCTTGTAATGACTACAGTTTCAAAGTAGCTTCACTTCAGCTTCACTGATTTACTTTAACTCACAAATACGGAGCCCCAGACATATCATGCAGGGAAAAAATTATTATGGCCACGAATTAACAATTAGTTCCCACGACTTACTGATTCATCACCTCCTTTTAAGGAAATCGTGAGCATGACTTACTAATTTGTTACCTTGTTTTAAGTACATCATGTGCACGATGTACTAATCGGTTCTGTTCGTTGTATGATTTGTGAATAGCCAATTACAGCCTCTTTGTGAACAGGCTACATCCTCGTTACAGTCCTGTCATAACTTGTTTCATAACAGCAGCAATAGAGGTCTTTTCTCACGACGCAAAAAAAGGACAGGGTTTGTGTAATTGCAGAGTGGAGTTAGTAAAACATTAGTCTCGCGTTAGACTGACGGCAGAAGGACTGGGAACCTTGGCCACTTTGAATAGCAAGGACCGCCCGAGAGGTCATATGACTGACAGGTAAAGCAACCAATCACGTTTCGTTTTGTGCCACGTCATGATTAGGGGCGTGGAAATGTCCCCACAATAACACACCGGTGTGTAAAACTCTTGGACATATTCTAAAGATTCTGTGCCGTGAACTTTAAATATTTCACATACTTTTGAAAATCCACCCTTCAGTTGATCCTGATAAGCGCTCATCGTCACAGTTGTAAACACCACAGCTTTCTTCTAACATGAGGGGGTTTGGTGTCACGCCATCTTTGTTTCCAGAACAGGACACACACGTCTCCCGGAAATCCTGTAGAATTCAACACGACGCAAAAAAAGGACAGGGTTTGTGTAATTGCAGAGTGGAGTTAGTAAAACATTAGTCTCGCGTTAGACTGACGGCAGAAGGACTGGGAACCTTGGCCACTTTGAATAGCAAGGACCGCCCGAGAGGTCATATGACTGACAGGTAAAGCAACCAATCACGTTTCGTTTTGTGCCACGTCATGATTAGGGGCGTGGAAATGTCCCCACAATAACACACCGGTGTGTAAAACTCTTGGACATATTCTAAAGATTCTGTGCCGTGAACTTTAAATATTTCACATACTTTTGAAAATCCATCCTTCAGTTGATCCTGATAAGCGCTCATCGTCACAGTTGTAAACACGACAGCTTTCTTCTAACATGAGGGGGTTTGGTGTCACGCCATCTTTGTTTCCAGAACAGTACACACACGTCTCCCGGAAATCCTGTAGAATTCAACCAATCAGATGACGACTTTGAAAGTGTTTCCAATTTTGTGTGTCATATACGTCAGACGTTCAGCCTACAGTCGGTGGGCGTGACGTCTGAGGCTGAGACTAGTAAACATATGCACAAATTCACTGAAATGAGGTAACGAATTAGTGAAACGTGTGCATGATTTACTTAAAACAAGGGAATGAATTAGTAAATCGTGCTGGTGTATCAATAAGTCATGGGAACATATTGTAAATTTGTGGCCATGATATAATGTTTTTCTTTCCCACTTGTCATGTCTGGGGCTTCGTACACCTGCAACTTCTATATGAACAAACTTTCAGCCTCCAATAACTCCAATAACAGACAGATGGCGCTGTAGCTCATCTTTATGTGGGGAAACATTTCATCTCATCTTTGTTTTGCAGTTATCCAGTTTGGCTTCATCACGCTGTTTGTGGCTTCTTTCCCGCTGGCTCCTCTGCTGGCTCTGATGAATAATATATTGGAAGTGCGAGTGGACGCCTGGAAATTCACCACTCAGTTCCGCCGGCCCGTGGCAGCCAAAGCGCACAGCATCGGCGCGTGGGACGAAATCCTCAACATGATTGCCGTTTTCTCAGTGGTCACGAATGTGAGTCTGTATGAGATTAAACTCAAAAGTCATAATGAGTCAGGATCCACTTTGACTACATCAGAGTTGGTTGAACGATTCAAACTGATGGATCAGTGAGTCATTTTGACTGATTCATTAACAAGAGCCAGCTAAAAGGAATCATTGGTACACCTACATCTTGATTATATTATTTGCATATAGCCTGTCGTTAACTTTCATTTGCTTATAAACTGGTAATGAAGCATACTGTGAACAGAAATATCAAAGTAGGTCATGTAACAGCATTAAATGTCATTTATTTGTCCTTCAGGCTTTCATTGTCTCATTCACGTCTGACATGATCCCTCGGCTGGTGTATAAGTACGCGTATCACCTGGGTTCTGAGAGCACGATGGAAGGATACATCAACAACAGCCTTTCCATCTTCAACATCTCCGAGATCCCAGTGGAAAACCGTCCAGAGGAGGGCGAGAACCCGGATTGGTTCTACAGCTCCAACATCACCACCTGCAGGTACTGTTGTGTATGCTTGTGCTGTATCTCTTTGTTGATAGATTTGTGCTAATGCTGAGAAGCGTGTCATTAACATGAATGCTGTGTGGATGCTGTAGGTACCGTGACTACCGGTACCCTCCAGGACACGAGAAACAGTACACTCATACCATGCAGTTCTGGCACATTCTCGCTGCCAAATTAGCCTTTATCATCATTATGGAGGTATGAGCTCTTAAATTGTCTTCTTTCCTGTGTCACAAATAACTACACTTTTGCATGCTTTTAAAAAGAGTACTTATCATGGAAATAAAAAACTTAGGGTTAGAATAATAAAATATACTTAATTGCAAACTGAATGTAATGTTTCCAGACACTTATTTGCATGTTAATTGCATAAATGTAATTATGGTTTAAATTTAAAATAAATGCATTTAGCTGAACTTGACCCTCTTAAGTATGGCAGACATCTTTATATGTATTTTCACTTCTATTGTCTTTGAAATATGGTTGAATATACTGACGAGCCTTTATGGTGAACCAAAACATACTTAAATATGATTTCTGTTGACTTTTTATGTCATATATTTAAACTTATTTGTAAATACACATTTGTAATGCTAGTTCTAATTTAGTATTAAATTTAAAATATGGTAACTTTAAATGTAATCAAATAACGCAGTACAGTTAAAATTATAATCAAGTTCACGTGTGCTTTATCAACATGACAAAATAAGTGTTCCTGAAAGCATGATAAATGATTTTTACAAAGTGAATGTTTTAAAATTTAACTTAAGTGTGTTAAGAGACAGTCATAGTTAAGTACACTTAAGTGGTCTTTAATTTTATTAATATTATCTGCAAGTAGTTGTTTGAAGTACACTACAAGTGCACATTTAGTACATTTGAACACTTACGTTGAGCAGTTCTTTTCCACAAGGCTGATTGTGTGATCCAGCTCTGGAGTTTTTAAATATGCTAATTGTAGCATTGTTAAGTGTAATGATAAAATCAGGTAACTATTTGTTAAGGTCCATTTGCACCACGATGAATCAAAACAACATATATTTCACAGACAGACATTCACACCACAGATATTCACACTCTGAGCATCACAGGTTTTTACAGAGAAATGTTTGCACTAGAAATGTGAAATACACTCCTGCCATTCATTAGTAGACTGCAACTGTTAATAAAACATATCTACCAACATGATGCAAAGATGCTTCTTGATTGTACATCAAATGTTCTCACTCATTATGAAAGGGTCCACTGAGATTGAACTGTTTGGTTTCTAATTCCGTCACAGCAAAAATGCTTGGTCTCATTAGGCAGTTACCTGCTGTCAAATTAATAGCAATGTAGTCTAATTATTAAAAAAAAATAATGTGATAAAATATTAATTAAATCTAAAATTAAATATTACACCCTGACACATTGCTTCATTCATTCTATGAATGTATCAGCTTATAATAATTTGATTGTTGATTGACATGGCTAATAAATGTATGTCATCAGTATTGAAATAATAGTAAACTGCATTAATACTCTTCTTCTCTCCAGCATGTGGTGTTTGTGGTGAAGTTCTTTGTGGCGTGGTTGATCCCCGACGTGCCGTCAGACGTGAAAGCTCGTACAAAGCGCGAGCACTACCTCATCCAGGAGTACCTGCACGACTACGAGCTGGAAAAACTCAAAATCCAGCTCAGCCAGAACGGTCCGAACATCGAGCCGTGCACGTGTCCCGCCACAGCCGCCACCTCAGTGAAGCTGGAGGTGTTTTCAGACTGTCTGAGCTAACACAGGCCTGACCTTGACTCTAGCACCTGAAAGCTTTCACTCAGCCCATGTCTCAAACCAGTCCTCTCGGTCTCATCACAAAATCACACGCCACTGGTTCCTCGTATCTCACTGATTATGTTCGATAATCTTTTCACACCACATCCACTGTTTGGGATATTCCTCGACAAATCACTCCCATATTACGTCTCCCAGAGCCCTCATTTTCAGTCATGTGACCTCAAAGAGATGCCTACATAAGGGGAAAGTTTGTCTAATAGAATAAGAGTGATGAAGTATAATAACTTTTACATGTGTTTAGATATACCTAAAGCCACATGAGCTGTAACTCAGTTTCTGTCTATGCAGATTGGCACTTTCACTCTTCAGGAACAATTACTGTAGGTTTTCTCACGCTTTCCTCATCATTGTTCTCTGTTGATGTCTCTGTAAGCCACTACAAACATACAGGACAGACTGTTTATGGTCTGTGTGACGCACTGTGTGAAAGTCTGGCAGTTGAAATGTTAGATTTCAGCCCAAAACCAAACTGGGTCAAATATAAACTGGACATTTCAGGATTTGTGTGATTCACTCCAGCATAGACTCCTTCACACAGCGTCAAAATACAAGAACTCAGTGACAAACTTTATTGCTTAGAATGCCTTTAAGCTACCAAAGATTAAAATGCCTTAACATCATAGACATATGCATGGATCCTTTACATTATAAATATTAAACACTTCTATTTACAGTATGCTCAGAATTCATGTACAAAGAATTTTATAATTATTATTACACACTGGTGTTTTTTTTTCTTTTATGATCAAAATTTTACAATATTTGACAAGCTGCCACTCACATTATTTTGCAGTATTATGTCATAGCTTGATGCAGCACCTTTTTTAAAGCATCCTATAATACTAGATTTATTTTATTTGCTGGAAATTGTATGCAAAAAAAAAAAGAGGTTCTATGCTAAAAATGAGTAAATATGCACATTACACTCTTGCTGTGCTGTTTGGGTGACGGAGGCATTGAATCTTCACTCACACTATTTATAAAGCAGTTATCACTCTGTGTTCATAGTAAAGGTAATCTGCACTTTAAAGCTTTACATTGATGGACAGGAAACAAACTCTTCTCAAAGCCAAAGTTGCTCTGGTGATTTGAAAGGCAAAGCTAATATCTTTTTAATGTGCCTTTATCTAAATGCAAAATCCATGCTGAGTGTTTATTTGTGTTTCCTTTACAATTCATTTACTGTGTTGTACTGGTCAGAAGGATGGCGTCACTTTGAGTTTGTTTTGCACAAAGCACTTAATGAGGAGTAATTTATCTCAGTGTTATTGAAGCAAGATGTGTGACAAACAACCCTTGTATTTATAATATGCCAGTCTGATCATTCATTTGGCATTGGACTAAAAGCTTAAGAAACTTCAAATCAAATAATTATAATGAGGACCATGAACAGCCGGCAGTTTGACATGTCTATTTGCTAATGATGATTACAAATCTTAGCATGTGCATTTTGCTGTTATTTGTGACTTGAATATTTAATTTGGAAATCATGGAAGTTTTTCTGTAAATGTTTTTCTTTCAGTCTCTGGTTTAAATATGAAGAATTTAGTCACTGTTTTGTCAGTTGTAGAACTGTTATTCATAAAATATTTGACTGTTGATTTATGTAGCTGACAATCTGCGAGCTGTGCTATGAGGTGAAAAGCCATTTATCAGTCAAACATTACCTGACCTTTTTGACATTTCAGCTAGAAGTTGAATTTATAGAGCTGTTCTGGGTGATCGAATGATCAGCGGTTATGCCTTAACCTTTATCTGCATTTTTCTTTACGAACACTGTTTGAAGTTGATTTTTGCCTGTTTTTATGCATGGTTATTTTGGATGTGGATATGAATCTGAGTGTGTTTTTTCTGTTCTGCTAATGTACAAGAAATGTACTCCGTTTTTCATTCTTTAGGCAAACTATTGTCATCCAAATAAACTGTGGAATCCACCAGAGACTCTGTGGTCTTTAATTGTTGTGGATGTTGCTTTGAATTCTTATGTAAAATTTCAGGGGCTTTGAGAGAGGGTAGGACAATTATATTTCATATATATGACAACGTATGCTTCATCGTTAGTCCATAAGACTGATGGGTCAGTACTGCACATGCGATTTTAATGTGATTTATGACATTACTTTCACAGCATTAAAACCACCTTTGTATTACGTAGGTTTCCCTTGTGCTGCCAGAACAGCTCTGATTCATTGAGGCATGGACTCCTCAAGACACTGAGACATTAGCAGCAGATCCTTTAAGACAAGTCCTGTAAGTTGTGGGCCTCCCTGGATCGGGTTTGTTGGTCCAGCACATTCCAGAGATGCTCAATCAGATTGAGATCTGATGAATTCGGAGGCCAAGGCAATACCTTGAACTCTTTGTCGTTCCTGCAATTTCTGCAATGTGTCATGGTGCATTGTCATTAGGGAACACCACATCCACATGAATGCAGGACCTGAGGTCTGCCCAGAGCATTACACCGCCTCCGCCAGCCTGCCTTCATCCCATAGTGCATCCTGCTGCCATCTCTGCACCAAATGATGCACATGCATCCGGCTGTCTACCTGAGCTAAAAGAAGAAGAAAAAAGCATGATTCATCAGACCAGGCAACCTTCTTCCATTCCTCCATGGTCCAGTTCTGATGCTCACATGCACATTGCGGGAGCTTTCAGCGGTGAATAGGGGTCATCGAGGGCTCTCTGACCGGTCTGCGGCTACAAAACCCCATATGCCAAAAAACTGTGATGCACTGTTGTTCTGACACGAGGCCAGCATTATGTTTTTCAGCAGTTCGAGCTACAGTAGCTCTTCTGTGTAATCTGACTAGATGGGCTAGGCTTCACTCCCCATGTGCATCAATGAGCCTTGGGCACCCAGGACCCTGATGCCAGTTCTCCGCTTGTCTTTTCTTGCAGCACTTTTGCTAGGTACTAACCACTGCACTGAACACCCCAAAACTCGCTGTTTTGGAGATGCTTTGACCCAACACGAACCATAGAAAACAATTAATAAATTGTCGGTTTACATCAGTGTTGGTGAGTGTTGATGTGTATGAATCATTAAAAATACATTAGGCTACTATAAACATTAAGGTCTTAAGCGAACATTCATGTCTGTACTTAAAATTACAGACTAAATTAAACATTGATTTGAAAAATGCGAAAATTCTACTTCCATTTAAAGCTAATTTAGCTTTTGTTTATGGTGACATTAAGTTATAAAAAGCCAAAAAGTCTGTACTTAAAATTACAGACTAAATTAAACATTGATTTGAAAACTGCGAAAATTCTACTTCCATTTAAAGCTAATTTAGCTTTTGTTTATGGTGACATTAAGTTATAAAAAGCCAAAAAATATATATATTATATTAACCTACATTAAGGAATATTTTGGCATCTGTGTAAAAATGTATTGAATAAATATTGTGGTCTTTAAGTAATCTTTTTACTTTGTGTGAATGTTTGTGTCTGCAAAAATAAATGTTTTTATTTATTAATATGAAACAAAAAAAAATGAAGGTTTGACCAAACTAATAAATTTGGCTGTAGCAAATAAATATCTAAAAGTATATTTTTTTCCAGTGCACACTATTTATACATTAAACATTTAATACCGTATACAGACATTGATATTGTTAGTAGTATACGATTCATTTGCCCCACAAATTAATCAACATTATTTTACATAAGAAGCTGAAATAGAAAAGCATGCGAATTTCACACAAAGACATATTTGCACGAATTGCAACGTTGTGAATAATTTAACAGACAAGCAAACGACATTGACTCCTGCATGTGCCGACCTGTCTTTGAGCGCCCGCTTGTGGTCATTATTCCTATTAATATTACATATTGTAAAAAGGGGCATAATATGTCACCTTTAAAACACCAAAATAATGTAGTATGATATCTACCATGAATTTTTCAGAATAAATGAAATTAAAATAAATAAATAAATCCGATTCTACTGTCTCGTCCCAAGAGCCCACAATGCCAGTGAAAGCTGATTACTTGAAGGTGTTTACCTGATAAAGCCACTCAGTGCATCTAAGACTATTATAACATGACTCATACATGTGTTTGCCAGTGGCTCTTAGTTAACAGCTAGATGTCAGTGCATGCTGTTTCAGCAGTTCATGAGTGAAAGACAGGAGCGCGCACGCAGCTCACCCGCGTTCATGGAACAGCTGGACGCGCGCGCTCTCTGTCCACGGTACTGAACGAGCTCTCGCGCCAGATCTCTGTTCTTGCTCTTTCTTTGTCATTTTCCTGGTTCGGGCTTTTCCGAAGGCGAATTCTGATGGAAGAGTCTCGGTTATAGTTGAAAATATGTCGGCAAAATGGAAAACCGAAGAATTGCAGAAGTCGAAGGAAAGGGAGTTTCAAAGGACATCTCAGTGGCTGTGAATCAAGCTTTTAATGTATTGATTGATCTCGGTGTTTTATAAGTCGTCTACGAGGAATAAAAACGCATTTTAACTGGGTCGAACAATACTGCTCAGGTTTCCACACTCGAGGAATATGCTGAAACATCTTATAGCCAATCCAAATTAAAAGTTCTTATTAATATCGAGTGGAATATTGTCTTTGGAGATGGATACGATGAAGGAACGAGTTTTGGCCCCCGGTAAGAAAAGATTGAGGAATCTGGCCGGGAAAACCCTGGGACACATGCACAGGTATCAGCCCTTCCTTTGAGAAAATAAGACAAAAAAACTAAAAATCACTAGTGATCTTTACAAAAATATGAATCGTTTATTATCTCCATGTCAAAATACCATTTAGGCAACATGTCTACTGAAATTCAAATGATTTTTCCTCCTCCGATACCCACATAAGCATGGCTATATATATCACATAATTCATTATGATTCATTAATCTGCAATGTAGCGCGTTCTTTTCGACATTTTTCGCTAGGAGCAAATAGGATAGAAGTGACTATACGCGTTAAAGATCGTGATGTGATCGTGTATAGATCTGGAGATGAAAGAATTCCTCCGAGGATCGTTCCTCTGCCCACAGCGCGCCTGAATCAATTCATAATTCATGAAAAGAAAGTCGTGACATGACGAGCGAAGAATAAATCCTTTTCAATAAATTGGTTTTATTATTATTGGTATATTTTTGTATCGATTTTTAAACGATAAAGTAAAAACAAACTGTAATGATTTTAGTAGCTCTTAAACTCAGAATTTTCCGTTTTACCTTGTCAAAATCGTCCAGATTCTTTGTATTTTATGAAAACTGTGGATTTTTCAGAGCCGTGTGTGTGTGTGTGTGTGTGTGTGTGTGTATTACATTTAGGCCAGAGGTTATGAAACGCTTAGAGTCAGAACGGTTCAGTATATGGTTTACATCACAGAAAATAAAAGAAAAATCTTCGCTATGATCAGATACTGCACAACGATCATTCGTATATACCACAATATTATAAAAAATATGAAATTATATTTTTTCATGTAATTCGTTTTGTATACTGGATTATTTCGATATTTTAATGTGTGTTTCGTATATTTAACCGTTGAAGCAGCCACAAAAATATGTAATCAACGAAAAAAATTCGTACTGTACTATATCAAGCTACGGTCAGGTCTGCATTAATAAGTTATAATGTATTTCGATAAAAAAAAAAAATGCTGCAATGCGGTTCAAATAACTCCGTTTGCCAAGTCGTGACAAAAGATTAGAATTGAGATATACAATAGAACTCTGTCTGTCTTCTTCATTTGCTGATGGATTGAATTATG